GCAAGGAGCAGGCGGGGATGGGACACCCTGGCATGAAGTGGCCACTGTCACCCTGCTGTGGCTCCTAAAAGCTGTTCCCACCTGTGGGATTTCATTACATATAGGCCACGGGGGAATGTAAGACCCACCACCATGTGTTAGTGCAAAACACAGCTTTCACCTGGGGTTGGGGGGTGGGGGGGAGAAGAGCCGGTTGACTCCTGAGCCCATGAGTGCCCGAGGCCCTGCGACACAGACTCCGGTTGTTCCACTGTGGAAGTGGCCACACGAGATTTTATTAGTTACAGAATGAAGAAATCAAATCATTTCTTAAATACAGAGGTTACAGCAAGGGCTTTAGCTGCTCTCAGTGACACTCTTGGCTTCTGGGTTGTAAAGGACTTTGAGAGTCAGATAACACATAGGACTGAGCAAGGACTGGCTCTCTAAGAGACAGAGAAACAATCCAGATCTGTCATCTGCAACACTCTGACTCTGGAATCAGCAAGTTCAGTCATTGGCTTTGTGGATTCCTTAGTAGGTGTGGCTCTTCCTTCGGGGGGGCGCCGAATTCCACTCATGTGTCACATATTGTGAAATACGGAAAATAGTCCAGAACCCAGGGAAAGCTGGACAGGCATGATAGCTCCCTACCATCTGGTACTTAGGAAGCAGGCAAGGGATCTTCTGGGCAAACTGGTTGACACGTGATGTGAATTTCAGGCCTCCATATGCACCTGTACACACACACACACACACACATACACACACGCACGCACACACGCACACGTCCCAATGTATGGGAGACTGATTTTGAGTATGTGTGTCTGCCCAGGCTAGATTATTTAATAATGGTCTCTGAGAGAAGCAGGAGCCAAGAAATGTATAGCCTGGACTACAGCTTGCCCTGAGCCAGCGTTCATGGTTTGTCTGCATTGGAAATGCCTCAAGCAAATTCTGCCAGTGAGTTCAACTTCAAGTTGGCTCAAGTGGGGTTGGCTGTCCCTTGGCTGGAAGACTGCTTGCCTGAGCACACACAAGCCCTGATTCTACCCCGTGCTTTGAATAAACTAAGTGGAGTGCCTCTAAGCCCAAAGGTGGGAGGATCAGAAGTTCAAGGTCATCCTGGGCTACATACTTAGCTCTAGGCTAGCCTGGGATGCAGAGGATCCTGTCTCTGGTAGGGTATTCAGAACAGTCGGAGCAAACAGACTCCCTCCACTGTCTGCAGCAAGACACAGAGAGGCGGAACAGAAATACGTGAGGATGGGAGAAGCAACATGACCGGCGTCCCCCCTTCAAAGGGGGCGACATGGACAGGACAGCACAGTCAATGCCCATGGTGGTTTTCTGTAGGTAGCAAGGCCACAAACCTAGTCCTTCCTCGAGCACTCTGAACTTCCTGGATTCCTCTGGAGTGATGATTCATTAGTGAACACATAAGAAACGGGCAAAGAACTGAGAAATGTCTCTGTGGGTAAAGGAGATTCTACAGAAGCCTGAGTGTGGATCCTCAGATCCCATGCAAAGCAGGACAGTAGCACACATCTGGAATCCACAACTCCTACAGTGAGAGAAGGTAGAGGCAGGAGACCCCAGAAGCTCCAGGGTGACCTAGCCTGGTGTAGCCAACAAGAGACTGTCCCTAAACCAAGGTGGAGGTTGAGGACAGACCCTGAGGTTGTCCTCTGATCTCCACACACATGCTGTGGTGTATGTGCACCGGCAAACACAAAGGAAACAGGGAAAACAATACAAAGTGCTGTGTGCTGGGAGCATGGTCAGGGAGGGCTTCTTGGAGGAGGTGACATACACTAGAACTGTGAAGGGGACAGCACAGGAGAAGCCATGGGAGGAGCTCCATGCTGCATCCTGTGTTTAGGACAGGGCTGAGTCACAGGGCAGATGCTTGGACTGTAATTGTCTAGTTAATACACAAGCTAAGGAATGAATGCATACAGGGAAAGCTGCTAAGGCCTGAGACTTAGTTTCAAAGGTCCTGCCTGATGAAACTTGGCTCCCTGGGGGCTGTAATCTCTTGAGTCTGTGCCTCAGGACAAATCAGGTGCTGCTAGGGGAACAACAGGAAAGAGCTGAGGAAACCCACCATCTAGGGTTGAGCAGAGCCTTTCCAGTCAGCTGCAGCCGACAGCATGTTCTGAAATGCTGTGTCCAGCAATCACCTGTTCTGAGTGACCCCCCGAGCTGCAGCCTTACCACTAGTGTGTGGCCACCCTGCTGCTCAGTCTGTATGTGGGGGGCTAGGGGGCTTCTGGGAAGTCTGGGGGCGGCCACAGCCACCTGGCCTCACTAGTGCTTCTCAGCGTTTCTGCACAGGCCTGCCTGGGCATGAGGCTGGTAGATGACAAGGCCACAGCAGCAGGATGGCTGGAAGCCCTAGGACAGCACCTCCTGTCCTTGTGGGAGGGGACATCTGATTGATGTAGAGACAGCCTGTTACAGTGGCCACTACTGCCGGGAACCCAGCACCAGGTTCTCACACAGCTCCCTTTGTCCTCACTTTGAGGAGGTTATGTTTCTGTCACAGATAGGGCAGGACAGCCTTGGTAGCTTGTCACAGCATGGGGCCTCCTCCACCTCCACAGTATGTGGAAGGGGTGTGGGAGCTGGCCCTGCTGATGTAGGCAGAGATGGGATTGCGCTGTTTAGGGACAGGGGCTGATGGAAAGAACCAGGTGGACCATGGCTTCTCTATGACACAGTAGCTATGACTAATCTCTATGGATGTGAGAAGGAACTCCCTAGGTTTGCAGTATTAACTCAGAGCATGTTCACCAAGGGCCAGAGGCCATGGGAAGATCCAGATTTGAGCCAACAGCTGGACACATGGCCAGGTGTCACCTGGGGAGGGGGCTGGGAAGAGGGCTCCCTGCTTAAAGTGCTTGTCCTGCGGAGTTTGAGGACCTGAGGGCAAATCCCAACCAGCCACGTAAGAAGCTGGACATGGCTCCCTGTAACTCCTGTGCTGGAGGACAGGGGTGGGGAAGATACGGATGCTTGGGCTTGTTGGCCAACCTATGCCCAGGCTCAGGGAGACATTGTGCTCCAAGGGAATAAGGTGGAGATTGGCAGAACAGGACACATGATACCGTCTGTCCCCTGCAAACGCATATGCTCTCCCTAACACAGCAGGTGGCTAGGTGAGTACAGGAGAAACGCAGTTAGACCAGGGGCTCCGACTGCAGCTGCCCAACATGGGGGGGGGAACACTAGGTCAGGCCATATCTCAGGGACCCCCAACCTTTATAACACACTACTTCCTGTCCTTTGAACAAAGCCATGGACCCTCAGAAAAGGGAGGCCCATGTTGGTAGCTGGAGGCCCTACAACCCACACACTCCAGGACCAGAGCAATTTTAATCTTTAGTTTGTATGCTAGCCTCAGGGTAGCTGTGCTGGGAGGAATGGCTCAGTGGTTAAAGTACTTGCCTATTTGCCCTTGCAGTTTGAGGACCAGAGTTTGGTCCTCAGCTATAGCATAGAACCCATAGAAAGCTGGACAGGCGTGATAGCTCAGGGATCCCCTGGGCAAACTGGCTGATACATGATGTAAATTTCAAGCCTCTATGTGCACCTACACACACACACTCACACACACATTTGAACCTGCAAACACATGCACACCACACACATAAAGGGATCTGTTTTCTGTGGCAGCATTCTTTTTGAAAGGTAGGAGTACCAAAAAAGCCAAGAAACTAAACAAGACTATGGCATGCCCAGTACAGCCCACTCCAATGGGCTCTGTAGAAACTGGGGGCCTGGGCACTGGTTCACCTGTTGCAGCTTCTGGGCTTGGGGAGATCTCTGCCCTCTGGCACTGGTCTCCTCCAGTTAACCTTATACAATTCCTTGGTGCCCATCATGCACGAGGAAAGCCTGGGGCTGAGCGGTGGTCCCCACTTTTCTCTAGGAGGGCTGAGAGGAGAGGCAGAAGCGGTCTATGAAGGAACTCTGCCCCTCCCCTGGGAGCGCTATCCTCCTAACTGCAGAGATTGGCAGCCATCTGTTCCCACCCATTTTTCCTCTAATGACCCAAGACTTTCACATCAGCGCTCTATCCCACTTCTTGGAACCTGAAGGTCAGGCCCAGGGCTGAAAAGCAGGGACTAACAACCAGGACTCTGTTGAGCAAGGGTCAGAGGAGAAGGGAGAAAAGAATCCTCTAGTTCTGCCCGGCAAGTCAGAAAAAAATACTACTCTAAACCACAGACCCACTAAAACTTATCAGAGAGGAGTGGGATGGATTTGCTTCCTTTCTCAGCCGATGGGTGGCAAAGCCTGGCGTACAACCAAAATTTCTAGACCCTTGCACCTTTTCCTAACATAGTTCTAAAAGAATCAGACCCACAGGGCCAGATAAATGAAAATGAGCCTCGAAGTTGGGAGCCCTAAATCCAAGTCCTAATTCTGCCGCTAATCAGGCCTTCTCCAGGCCTAGTTTCTTCACCTGCTCCCTCAGGGAGCTGCTTCTGGCCTGGTGGAGCACCCTCCCAGGTACCCCTCCACTTCTCGGGTGACACAGGCAGAAGAGCATTGGTAAGCGCCTAGGCGCTCCGCACCACCTTTTAGGGGCAGCCTGAGAATCGCTAATAGCTCTATGGAGTTTTGCACTGGGCACAGCCCTAATCCGTTGACTGCCTGCACCCCGACCTTCGCGCCGAACCCAGGGTCAAAGCCACTGCTCCTCGCGCGCCCATCCATCGGTGCTGGGCAGTCACAGTTACCGGCGCGCTCTCAGACTCCCTCGCCTGCCAGCCACCCGCCTTTGCCCGTGCACACCCAGGCTCCAGGACCAGACAACGCGCTGCTCTTGTTCTCTCAGCTCGGGGCGACCCCAAACCCAGCGCCCGCTCCCCGCCCCTGCAGTGACAGGCTCGCCCAGCCCTCCGCCTAGCTCCGCTCCCTCCGCTCTCCGACCCCGCCCCGCCCCGGGCCCCGCCCCCGAGCCTGCCGGGAGGATGTGAGCTCATTCCCTCCTCCATGTTCCGGCCTCCTCCAGGAAGCCTCCTCCGGAGGTCTCGGTCCGCTCACAGCCAGCGGCCCGTGGGTCGCGGAGTCCGCAGCGCTCCGGGTCCCACCTGACACCGCACGCAACGCGGCGTCGGTCTCGTGGGTGCGGAATGAAGGCAGGCGGCGTGGGCACCCACCCAAGCCTGAACTACTCGGCCGGGGCAGTGTCTCCGGAGTAGGCACCGTACTGTTCCCGGCCAGCGCACGCTGTGCCCTCGGCTCGCTTCCGGCCGGGCCACGTGATTACGCGCACGTGTTCCGGCCCCTCGGAGCTGCGGTCTGGAGCCTCCACACAGCGGGCGGATGCCCATCTAGAGACAGTGCGGCCTTCGCCATGAACCCCAGGGGCCTGTTCCAGGACTTCAACCCCAGTAAGTTCCTCATTTATGCCTGCTTGCTCCTCTTCTCCGTGCTGCTGCCCCTGCGCCTGGACGGCATCATCCAGTGGAGCTACTGGGCGGTCTTCGCCCCCATCTGGCTGTGGAAGCTCCTGGTCATCGTGGGCGCCTCGGTGGGTGCGGGCGTGTGGGCCCGCAACCCTCGCTACCGTACGGAGGGGGAAGCCTGCGTGGAGTTCAAAGCCATGCTGATCGCTGTGGGCATCCACCTGCTGCTGCTCATGTTTGAGATACTGGTCTGCGACAGGGTGGAGAGGGGCACCCACTTTTGGCTGCTGGTCTTCATGCCACTCTTCTTCGTTTCCCCCGTGTCCGTGGCCGCCTGCGTCTGGGGCTTCCGACATGACAGGTCCTTGGAACTGGAGATCCTGTGCTCTGTCAACATCCTGCAGTTCATCTTCATTGCCCTGAGGCTGGACAGGATTATCCACTGGCCATGGCTGGTGGTGTTTGTGCCCCTGTGGATCCTCATGTCGTTCCTCTGCCTAGTGGTTCTCTATTACATCGTGTGGTCCCTCCTGTTCCTGCGGTCCCTGGATGTGGTTGCGGAACAGCGAAGAACACATGTGACCATGGCCATCAGCTGGATCACGATTGTCGTGCCCCTGCTCACCTTTGAGGTCCTGCTGGTTCACAGACTGGATGACCACAATACGTTCTCTTACATTTCCATATTCATCCCACTTTGGCTCTCGTTATTGACTTTGATGGCTACAACGTTCAGGCGGAAAGGAGGCAATCATTGGTGGTTTGGTATTCGTAGGGATTTCTGTCAGTTTCTACTTGAAGTGTTCCCGTTTTTAAGAGAATATGGGAACATCTCTTATGATCTCCATCACGAAGACAGTGAAGATGCTGAAGACATATCGGTGTCAGAAGCTCCAAAAATTGCTCCTATGTTTGGAAAGAAGGCTCGGGTAGTTATAACACAGAGCCCTGGGAAGTATATTCCTCCACCTCCTAAGTTAAACATTGATATGCCAGACTAAACTCACAGGCTGGGCCTTTAAGTGAAATAGGAACCATATACCCAACCGAATTCCACTTTGCTTTTTTCCTGTGTTCATCCAGCCCTGGAATTGGAAACAGGCCCTATTCATTTTATGCCCACTGTGAGACAGAAGCCTCTGCACTGGTCTTTATGTACAGTAGGAAGAAGAAGGAGGCTGTAGGACTGTGGGGGATGTGTACATACGTGCAAGAGAACTCGCTTCCCAGGCTCCCGTCTTAGGAGCTAGCCAAAGGTGGTAAATCGAGTTGTTTCTAGGCCTTCAAAAGACCTGAAAACTACATAGCTGTTTGTTTTAAAGTGCTACTTATGCCTACCAAAAGTATTGTTTAAAAAGTATTTTTATACACTGCTAGTCTAAAATTGTATTTTAGATTGTGCCCATTGTGACGGAATGGCAAAGTTACCAAATTCTCCTCCCCTCCCACTGTTCCCGAAACCTCATAGTTGGTGTTTCTAGTGCTCCTACTGTTTAAATAGTTGTTTTCTTTGGGCTTTGCTGACACAGGTCTTTAGTATTCTAACAGATGAATTTTCTAATGGATTGAATCTGCATATAGTAGTATTTATATGAATGTTTTAGCAGTGTTACCTGTGTTGAATTGTAGTTCTTGGCAGTAATGTATTATGTTAAAGTATTTTTTTAAGTTTCTGTGTGAAGATACATATTTATTTCAAGTATCCTTAAAGACTGAATGAGATGCTGATACGTCCCTAACCTGGGATCCTGTCAGAGTTCTAGGAATGGAGGTCCGATATGGTAGATAACAAGAGTGCTACAGATTTTTAAAGTTTGTGATTGCGCCCTCAGAGAAAAGGGACACCACCACTCAGAATAAATGACGTGTTCCAGTATGGTGTCAGGCCACTGTCAATTAACTCCTTAGCTTCTTTCTCACCGGTGGTCTCATCTCTTGAGGAATAACCAAAATACGCAACACACAGTTTGGCCATTTCTAAGGTCTGTCATAATGTAAAACATTACTGTTGGAATGCTAAGCATGACCAGTAGGGTGAGGTCTTGTAAGGGTCCACATTCTCTGTCCATCAGTAACAAGAAACAAACATTTAGGTATTAGGTGAGTACAGTGTTTCTTCAGGAGCTGGAGTCACCCCAGGAAATCAAAACCAGAGGACAAAGCCAGACCTCCTCAGAATAAGGTTCTGACTGGGAAGAAATAAAAAGTTAAAGTAACATGGAGTGCTCATCACCGAGGAGAAGACTGGGTTGGGGGCAGTTATTAGCTTCCTAAGGATTACCTACACCAGGTTCCATGCTCCGGGTAACTGCCCCTTTGCTCTGGGTGTGACAAGGTCCTTTCCCATATGAAGGAAAAGAAAACCTGGTGCTGGAGAGACCGGAAAGTGTGGTATGCAAGCATGACCTACCTGTGTTCACACCCTCAGCATCCAGCCCCAGCACAGAGAGCGGCAGGGACAGCTGGATCCCTAAGGCTTTTAGTCAGTCATTCTAAATCATAGAATGTTCTCCAGGTCGAGAGCAGCCCTGCCTCAGAATTCAAGGTGGAGTACCCACAGGACGGCTCCGTAGGTAAACATGCCTGCCACTAAGCCTGATGACCTGAGTTGGAGCTCTGGGATCCACGTGATGAAAGAGAACCAACTCTCTCAAGTTGTCCTCTGGCTATCACACACAAAACAAATTCTAACATAAAGTAGCTGGGAAGATGGTTCAGTGGTTAGGAGCACTGGCTGTTCTCCCAGAGGGCCCACAGTTTGATTCCCAGCACCCACACGATGGCTCACAACGGTGACTCTGAGGGCACCTGATGCCCTCTTCTGGTCTGTTGCAGGCACACAAGTGATGCAGACAAACGTGTAAGAAAAGCACCCATACACTTGAAGTTAGTTTTTTTTAAAAAACGGAGAGAAAGAAAGGATGCCCCCTGATGTCCACCTCTGGTTTATGCATATGCACAAACAAGATGAATTGATTACTTTAGCATCAATCAAAACCATGTGAAAATAATGTCTGTATATATGCTAAGGCAAAACATGCAAAGCTACCGGGGGTCCTGTGTACCTGCAGCATAGTTGGTTTGGACCAGCCAGCAGAATGTGAGGCAGTATTGAGCAGCAGTGGGGTGAGTGCCTCTTCCACAGGGAGTTGCTGATTCACTGCTTTCTCAGTAAAACCTCAGGGCTCCTAGTGACACTGAGGAGGTGCTCCTCATACTGATCCCTGTGCGAGAGAGGAAGCTGAGAAGCCAGATACAAGAAGCATGAAAGAATGCTGCTGGCTTCTGGGTGAACTTCACCTGCGCTTCAGGCAGCCAACCTACCTCACCACCTACTTGCCCTCTACCTCCCTCCTCACCACACCCCTATCTCTCCTCTATCCCCCAAGGTATCTGATAACAGTTTCTGGACGTTATCAGACATAAAGGTGGGGCCTGGGAAGACAATTCAAAGGTCAGAGCCTTGGCTGTTCTTCCACAGGACCTGGGTTCAATTCTCAGCACTCAGATGGTGGCTCACAACCATCTGTAACTCTAGTTCTCGAAGATCCATCTCCCTCTTCCACACTCTGCAGGCACATACGTGGTATGCAGACATATTTGCAGGCAAAATACCCATATGCGTGCTCGTTTCGGCAGTACACATACCAAAATTGGGACGATACACAAAAGATTAGCATGGACCCTGTGCAAGGATGATATGCAAATCAGTGAAGCAATCCATATTTTAAAAAAATACCCATATGCACAAAATAATTTTTAAAAATATTTAGGGATGGAAGAGCAGCTGTTTCTGAAGCAACTGAAGGGTTGGTTGTTTAGGAGGATCTGTAGTGCTCAGTCATATCTTCCCAGCAATGGGAGTAGTGTTAGAGAGCCAGTCAGACACATGCTACAGACATCCCTAAATCCCTGACCCCAGTCAGGTCTCAGTTATAGCGAGACTTAGGTGTCAGTGGAGGACTGTGGTCAGCTGTTCAGTTTGTGAAGCTGAGGAGATAGGGTTGTGGCTTGGTGTGGTGGCCGCACAGCACAGTGACTCCACACTTCTGTGCAGGTTGGTTTTGTCATAGCTTCTGTAAAGGAATGTCTCTGCTTCTCCACAGCTTCCAAGGTCTTAGTGGCTGGGCTAGGTGACTGGCTCAGTAAGTGCATGGCTGTGTGAGCATGACGACCTCAGAACCCCACAACAGCCAACTATAGTGGCATGAGCTTACATTCTCAGTGCAGGGAAGGCAAAGGTGAGGACCCCTGGGCTTGTGAGCCAGATAGCCAAACTGTTGAGATCTATGCCAATGAGAGACTCTCTAAAACAAAAACAAAAACCAAAAAACCCTAGGCTCAAAATACATTTTTTAAGGCCCAGCAAAATGGTTTATCAAGAAAAAGCAGTGCACAAGACTGATGAGCTATGTTGGATCCTTAGGTCTCATGGTGGAAAGAATGAGTATACGCCTGAAAATTCTTCACCCTTCACAAGAATGCTGTAGTGTGCATGTATGTGTACACAGACGGTAGTATAAACAGACAGAACTACAGACTCCTCCCTGAAGGTGCAAGTTAGCTGAGGAATACGCCCAGGACTGGGATCTATGCCAGGTCTTGATTCATCCTGTTTGGGATGCCAGGTTGAAGGAGCGGCAATCTTGGACTTTGCCCTTTATGGCATAAGTAAGGAGGCCAAGCCAAAGTCTGCAAGCACAAACAGTTCCTGCTCACATGTGACAGGTGTCCAGTTCACTCAATTCCAGTGGCCCAAGCACATGGTCAAGCCTGTCAGAGGAGGCAGTCTGTGTCCAAGGGGCTATAAGGCAGTCTACACAGGTAGCTGTCAGTTCATGAACTGATAGTGTTATAGGTGGTTCTAAAGGAACCAAAATTTGTAGATCACAAATGATTTTCTTCTTTTACAAATGTTCTGTAGTTTTCGAAAGCTGTCACCACTGGGAGGAACCGGCTGCGATCTGACGAGAGATGAGAAGATCCTATTCAGATCCCTTTGTGAACAGAGGAGAGAAATCTCAGCAGTTAGTCAGGACAGCATTATGAGAGAGACAATCTCGACTCTCCTCAGGCAGAAACGAGATCACTTTAAGGCCAGCCTTGGAGGAGATCTTGTTTCAGAAACAAAAATCAAAATAAAAAATATTTTAAAAACTACTGGAGTGGTGTAAAGTCCTGCACTAGCCTTTAATGAGGACCTGAGGTCAAGTTCCAGAGACTGTGTAAAAATGCTGATCGCCATGGTGACCTTGTAACTCTAGGTGTGGGGAGGGTCCTTGGGGCTTGCTTGGCAACAGCATGGCCCAATTGGCAAGCTCCAAAGCAATATGAGACCCTATCTTGAAGGATGACAAGGAGGGAATCCTCCAACCTCCACGGCGTACACATGCACACACATTAGATGAAGGTCCTAGCTGGAGGGTTATTTTGGAAGAGTCAGGATGGTACAGGGAGGCCAGCCTGGTAGAGGGTACTGGGAAATGTGGAAACTCCGGACAGCAGCCACCACCTGGCCACCTCCAGGGCTCAGGGCTTGAACAGGAAGCTGTTGGGAGACAGGTAGATCACAAGGTAGTAGGCAGCAGGAAGTACATACTGGAACCCTTTGGAAGCCACACTTGGAAACCAAGTGAAGGGCTAAGTACCTCAGGGAACCAGTAGGTGAGGAGGCTGCCACTGGAACCACTGCCACTGGCAACATAACTCTCCCACCAAAAGGGACTAATAGTATCACTCCTGCTGCCACAGACACATTCCGACCAGCAGGGAAGCTTCATAAGCAGGAAGGTAAATAACGCAAAATAGCTTCAGGAAGTCCCTGAAACTGATCAGACTCACTAGGCTCCTCCCTGCCAGAGTAAGCAGTGGAGCTGCCAAGAAGACTCAGAACTAAGTCACACTGCAAAGAAGCTCCCTAGAAGCAGCAGAAACCAAACAAGCTGCCTAGAAGAGGTTCATACCAGCTGAGGCACCTGGAAAGGACAGTGTCCAACCTGTTGAGCTGCCCGCAGGCTGTGCAGTGTGCTCCAGGTTCCCAGCTTTGTGAGCTGTCTGTCACCCATGCTGTGGTGGGCCTCGGTGATACTGCTCTCTCTGAGTCAGTTTTACTCCTATAAGTAACTCTAATAAAACTCATTGGTTCACCGAGTTGGGCTTTGGTGGTATCGATGCTTTGGTCTGGTCTGGGTTCCCTAACTGGAGCGAATAGATCTGTGTCTTGTGTCTCCCCAGGAAAAGTTTTGTCATACAACTACCAGCTAGAGACTGGGGGTAGGAGTAGGGAAGGGGAGGATAGACTTGTGTTAGCCTTGGGTGTAGGTTCTCGCTGTAGCTGGAGAAGTGAGGTCATGTGGCTGCCTTACCTCTGTCACTAGAGTCCAGTGGTCCAGACAGAGCTGTGCCAAAACTGGCCTGATAAAGGGTTTTCAAAGAGGAACGGTACCTGGAGGCTATATAAGTAGACACTGACCCCACACCCCTTCCTGAGGTATCTGGCATGCACCTACCTTCCTCCATGTGGTTCCCCAAGGCCATCTCTCCTCTCAACAAAGAGGGAAAGAGACACTCCAAAGCTTTGCCATTGCTGCTCCTGACTCTAGTCCGGCATCTGGGCCATTCCTTCCTCTAGCTTTGTCACTGTGAAGTGTTAACAGCTATGAAAGGAAAAGCTTCCCCAGCGGTGGTGTTGCAGCTCTGAGGGGAGATTTCCCCATGCAAGTGTTACAGCTCGGAGGGGAAAGGTTTCTCCAGTGGAAGTGTTGCAGCTCTGAAGGAAGAGCACAAAGTCACACTCCACAGCAAGCCTCACGCAAGAGGATTCTTGGGAAGAACACAGGAAGGTGGCTGCCTCTGCTGGGTCAGATGCAGCAGGGAACTGAGCAGGAGACAGGCTTATATAGGGTTTCTTAGGGGGTGGGACTTTCCAGAGAGGCATGAGATTGGTGGGATTATAGTGGCCTGATCTGGGGGCAAGTTCAGGGATTGGGTGGGATATTTTTCCTCCTTGGCCTGGTCCCGAGCTTGGGGTCAAGTCGGGGTCAGGGTGTTCTTTCTTTGGCCCTTTTACACAGATTGGTGGGATATTGGTAAATTTTCAAACCCAGATGTAGACTCAGACCTTTTGCCCTACAGTCATGTCAGGACATGTATTTTCAGGTACGTGTGGATTAAAGGCAATTGCCCTATGCTCTTCAAAAAGTGGCCCAAGATTCACATAATCCAACGACGCCTGGAGTTTGGGTCCCAGAACCCGAAAACAGAAGAGGTGGTGCATGTTTGTATTCCAGGGCCAGATCAGAGGCAGGGACTGGCAGAGCTGGATGCTCAGCAGCTAGACTAATCAATGAAGGTCCAGGCCACTGGGAGACTCTCTCAAACAGGAAAGTGGATGAAAGCTGAGGGCTGGCATATGAGGTGGTCTTCTGACCCCTATATGCATGTATACACATATACAGATACATATATACTCTCTCTCTCTCTCTCTCTCTCTCACACACACACACACACACACACACACACACACACACACACACACACGAACGCACACAGGCACACAAAAAAGAGAAGCCAGGCATGGTGGCACACACCTTTAGCACTCTGGAGGCAGAAGCAGGAAGAAGATCTCTGAGTTTGAGACTACCTTGGTCTATATAGTGAGTTTTAGGTCAGTTGTGCCCCACATAGAGAGATTCTGTTTTAAAATAAATAATTGAAAAAGTAAAACGAAAAAAAAATTTAAAAAATAGGGGTAGTGTAAAATGGCTCTGGGTAAAGACACTGTCAATGAGCCTGAGCCTGACAACCTGAGTCAGAACTCTGGGACCCACGTGATAGAAGGAGAGAACTGATTCTCACAGGCTGTCCTCTGACATTCGCATGTTCAGTATAGCTGGCATGTGCATGAACATGAACACACACACACATTATATCATATAATATACATTATTATATTTCATAAACTATGATATAATATATATGGTGAGATGAGTAGCAGTCAGGAGGCCCACAGCAGGACTGGCCTTCAAATTGTGCAGGGCAGTGCTTGGGGGTTCCTGTGGGAGTGTGGGAGGGCAGAGCTGCTCAAGCCATGACAAACCAGCCATGGCCAAGCAGATCACTGTCCTGCACAGCGGCACACGTGTGCTGACACGCCACTCACTGAGCGCAGTGCCGACATGACAGTGCCCAAGGCTGTTGCTGGGTGGCCCTGCTCCCCCACCCCAGGGACAGGATCATGTCCTCCACATCCCAGAGGCCAATGTGTCACTGGAAGTTGACCCAGGCATGGAACAAATGTCCAGTGCTGTCTTGGATAGCCTGAATCATCACCTACCTTCCAGAGGGACAGACTGCTTCAACGGGAGGCACGGCACCTGGTGCCAAGGCCTCATCAGGCTCTGCCCCACACCCAGGGTTCCTTCCATGCTATCACAGCAGACACAGTTGTGACCATCTACCTCTGAGCAAGTCCTCTTTTCGTTGCTCCTTCCACACCAACAGTGCCACTAGGCCCATGTCAGCAACATGGGGGCATGCCTAGGTCTCAATGTAGGCAAGTGGCTTAAACCTAGGGGCCCTTCTGCTTCCTTGCTACCTCTCTGTTTCAGGGGCAACTCAGGTGGGTTGGCCACATGCCCAGTGGAGCCTCAGGTCAAAGGCACAGGAGAGTGGTGGCTTGATCATTTTGACAAAGGAAAGGTGTGTGCCCCAGCAAATAAGCCTGGGCAG